ACTGCAGTGCTGGACATAAATTTGTATGGACTACTATTTTGCAAATAATTAGATCAATTTGAAGCAAAAAAAGCCAAAACTGCGTAGAATTGCTATTTAAACAAAGAGCTATCGGAGCATACAATTCTTTTGGCGAGGCGGTCCGTGGTTGTAGAGACACAGGAGTGACCATCACTCTGATACTGGCCAGAAGTCTGTGCGCGCGCAAATTTCCCGCCAATACTCCTGTTCTAGTGCGTTCTAGAAGCTTGCAATATCTTCAAAAATACACCCCAGCGTCTCAGTTGTCATTGGCAATGTGTCAGACAGTTTAAAATTTGCTGCGAGACCAGTAAAACGTGCGCAAAGGCACCGAGTTTACTGACGTCGAAAAGGGGACAATCCTTGGCCTTCGAGAGTCTGGATGGACATTTACTGCGATTGGCAAGCATCTGGGACGGTCGGCAACGGGTGTGGGCAAGTTCTGGAAGAACAGGGAGCGCCATGGGAAGGCTAAGCGGACTGGGAAACCGAGCAAGGTGTCAGCAAGGACACAACGACAGATAACTTTGGAGGCAAAAAAAGGGTGGAGGATCGCCGAGTGAAGTGAAAGCGGCTCTAGGATTGAATATATCGGCACGTACTGTGCGACGTGTACTTCAAAACGCTCCCTTCATGAGCTTCGTGAAGCGCACATTTTAAACTGTCTGACACATTGCCAATGACAACTGAGACGCTGGGGTGTATTTTTGAAGATATTGCAAGCTTCTAGAACGCACTAGAACAGGAGTATTGGCGGGAAATTTGCGCGCGCACAGACTTCTGGCCAGTATCAGAGTGATGGTCACTCCTGTGTCTCTACAACCACGGACCGCCTCGCCAAAAGAGTTGTATGCTCCGATAGCTCTTTGTTTAAATAGCAATTCAACGCAGTTTTGGCTTTTTTTGCTTCAAATTGATCTAATTATTTGCAAAATAGTAGTCCATACAAATTTATGTCCAGCACTGCAGTAAGCTTCTTGCTACATATACGGTCCGAGAAAAAAAGTTAGAAAAACTTCATCTTTTAACATTTTTACTTCAATATTTTTAAAACAGTATATCTGGGTGTCAATTATTGTCCTGGATGATAGTATTAAATGATCATTGTAAACAATTCTAATAATTAAACTAACATAAAACGTTAATTTTCAAAAAACGACATTTTCAAACAATTTGAGTTTAAATGAATATAATTTGCATTTTCTGAAAAATACAGTATTCGGCAAATACCTAGTGTCGAAAAGCGTAAACTTTTATTATATCTTAAAGACAATATATGTATGCACCCCGTTTACACGCTTAATTAATCAAACATACAAGTGAAGTCACAGCGTATCCTCGATGAGCAGCTCCGCGCCGCCGCGATGGAAGCGGCCGGCGGAGTTCCTCGTGTATCTGGTCCCCGTGGGCGGCATCCCGTCGGACTTGTTCGCGTCCTACGCGCGCCTGCTGCAGAGCCACAGCGAGCTTCCTCTCCGCAGTCTCACGCGTCCTGGAGGCTATGCAGCCGAGTTGTCTCCGTTCCGCGGCCTGGACTGGACCGGCACGGGCTCACTACGCTTCCACTTCGTATCAACCGCCGAGCACGTGGATTCCTACGACGGAGAAGATGTACACGCGAGTCGTCGCGTCATTGGCGCATTGGGCGTTTGCCACAGTCCGTCACTCACTTTAAGCGGTGGACTACGCGCCGCCCATGCACAGTTCGAGGCATCAGTTCAACGTTTTCCGGGGCTTCTGATGCACAAACTCTTCGCCTTCGAGCACGCGTTCGAGGACGTCACATCCAGCGAGTGTGAGGGACTCAGCGACCTCGTCATGTTCCCCGTTCACCACGAACTTGAAGGAACCGGCGAGTCCACTGTGACTCTCCACTTACAGGTCGTTATGGACACACTGGCTGTCAATATCCTCATGGCTTTAGAGAGCGCTATTAGATCAGCCACGTCCTCTGCTGCTAGTGGAATAACCCAAGGCGGTGGAGACCTCGCCAGTGTCCTACTAGACGTCAACGTGGAGCCACAGCAGTCGCAATCCATTCAACACTCAGTTTCGTCCCCTCTAGTTCTATCACGAGACCCCACAACCTTCAGCTCTGCGTCCAGTCCGTCTTCTCGCTCGTCCAACTCGTCATTTTCATCCATTCCTTCGCCTTTGGCTGCTGGAGTCGCTGTTTTCGACCCGCGGAATCGACGACGGAAGCGACACTTGGCACGTAGAGAAAAACTTCTGGGAGACTACAGTGTACTCGTGAGTTGCATCTCGGATGCGATGGATCATTACACGGTCGCAGTTGAAATGTTACGAGAAGAAGAACGACGCAGTGGAGGCGCATCGGGAGACGCTCTATGGCACGCTGCAGCACTGGAAGGATACGTCTATTGTCTGTACACTGACGCCAAGGAGAAATTCTCGACTGAACTTGTGGAAAAGGCCTCCGAAGCCGTCGCATTCTACGCTAAAGCAGGTACAACCGAGCTGGAGAGTCTACTAATCGAGAATATCGGCTGGTGTTACGCAGATATTGCAATAACGACATTGACGCGCACGTCAATGTCCGGAGAAGCGAAATTGTCAGAAAGTGTATGGATTAAACGATTACTTTGGGACGTACTGGAGAGAGGCCTGATGCTGTTTCCAGAGCTTCAAACACAGCGCCAAGTAGAGTTTTTGATCCAGACCAGCAGAATGCTAGAGAGTGTGGGGCATCGACGACGTGTGGCGCTCTTTCTGCATGAAGCTGCGTCGCTGTTGTTAGCCAGGAATGCGCCAGCTGTAGACTCCCAGTTAAAGTTGTTGCTATCACCTTCCAATGTTACAACAGGACCTCAGCGACAAAGAGACCTGGAGTCAGCTTTGTTACTCGAGCGTATTGCAGCGGAGCGCCTGGGTATTCAAGACCGGAGAGACGAATTGCCATGGGAAGTCACGACGCAATACCGACGGAATAGGAGACAGAAATCCTCGAGCTCTACGACTACACCGGACAATTCCTGGCTGATCATACGCTTCCATGTACTACGACAACTCCTGACAATAGCAAGGATGCTGGGAGACGCTCTACTGGTCGGGAAATACTGTCTGCAGCTGTTAGAGATGCTGGTTTGGTGTGATTCCATCGCATCTGTGGACTCTTCTCCTTCGTCATCGCTGCTCGTGGATCATCTCCAACAACCTGCGACTTCTCTTCGTGTGACGCACTTATCGACTGAACGAGCAGCAGCAGGGCTTCATGCAAAGAGTGGCGTGTATTTCTCTCCCCCGCCAGGTATCGACACGAGAGTTCGACGCCACTTTATCAATTCCCCGTCTGCCACCATGTCCAATGCAGCGGCGTCTATACAGTCGACGCTAACCAACACTCCGCGAATTTTAGCAACGCCAAGACAACAATTCTCCGCAGCGGTGAATGCGATTTCGACCAAGGCGTCGCCAGCGTTTACTCCGTTCTCTAACGCTCATAACCAGCTCAATGGAGCCATGACAACTCGCGCAGGAGGCTCAGAAGATCGTACACAGGCTGAGTTTGGCGTGAACGGAGACAATGGGGCCAAGAGCTCTCGAGTTCTGACTGGGAACGATGGTGAGGCTGACTCTGGAGTGGAGACAGAAGCTGATTCGGTGTGGAATTTGCGATCGAAGACTGAGATTGCCAAGATTGAGCGGAAGCTGCTGAAGATTCTGGAGTCTGACTGCACGACGCTGCGTTCTAGTGAGCAAACGAAGCTGCCGACGTTCCTCCGTGTGGATAAACTGAAGTTGCGCTCTAATTGCAACTTGCAGCATCCTTTTCTGGCCCGACAGACTGCTCTCGAGATGTTTGGGATGCAGTCAGCAACTAGTCAACAAGAGGCCAAGTCGGATTTCTTCTATTCTCCGTTCGAGAAGAAGCGGAAGACAGGAGATAGTGACGAAGATGACGCGCCTGCTATGTACGAAAGGGGATTTCCAGTTCATGAGCGAATCGAGCTGCAATTGACTTTATCGAACCCAACGGGCGTCGCTGTCAAGCTGCAAGAAGTGAAAGCATGGGTATCATTCGCTGAAAGTGATGACAGCATATTAGCAGGTACACTGGATGGATTTGTCGAGTGCTATCCGTGTTTTTTCACGTTAGAACCTTATCAACAACAGAAGACGGTGGTGTTGGGGATTCAACCATTGAAAGTGGGGACGTTCCACGTCTGTGGCTGCTTCATTAAGGCCTTCAACATCAAGACTTCCTTCCGACTCAATAATCCTGTAAAAATCCGCGTTGTAGGCGAGTTGCCGATGGTGTCACTCGCTCTTCGAGAACACGGATCGATGGCGCTATTGGATGGCCATAAGCCTGCAGAACCGGTGGCTTCTAACGTCCAGATTGCCATGTTTTGCTCCGAGACAAGGCGGTGTATGCTTCGTGTACGCAGCACTGGAAACCGAAATATCACGAACTACAGACTGGCGGTAACTCTTCAAAATCGTCGTGCAGCGAAGAAAACATGTGTGGTTTTTAACAACTTACCGTCGGTAGATACCAACGGTAGCGCTAATGAGGCTCCTGATGATCAGATTGAGACCAAAACTCTAGTATTGAGATGCGGCAAAGTGGTGTCGTCTCCGCTCCCTCTTGCAAGCGGTGATTTTGTGAGTATCCCGTTCGAAGTATCACTTTCCGGACAACAGGAGACTTTGGATGAGGATATCCAAATTGAATGGAGTTTTGTATATGCCGATGAGAACTCAGTGGACGCTGTCTTCTATCGAGAATCGAAGTTGACGTTGCAGGTTGTGTCCCTCCCGTCGCTCATGCTTCAGTCGGTAACGTTACTGTCATGCTGTTCGGAACACATTCCGAATTGTCGGACTGCGACAACGGACCATTTGTATTGCGCCATCATGGTCCACGTGGTTAATCCGACTGAAACTACATTTCGATTCCGACTCCACCGCGACTTTGACGACAGTGGAGACGTAACCTGTGAGGCGGAAATTGGTCGCCAATGTTCCCGTCGGTTTGTGGTCGAAGTCCCGCGTTTACAGGCGATGCCTAGCTTGGTAGACGTATTGAATGAGATGATCGAGATGGAATGGGAAACGTATTTCGGAACACGAGGACGTCTGCTGTGTGAGGATCACCACATTGGATCCATTGACCAGATGAAACGTGAATTTTTGTTACCGCCAGTTAACTTCAAGATTCAATCTCCTCTTGAAGACATCGCATCAGTTTTGACAGGTGAAGAGCAGAATGGAAGTGTGAGTAAGCCCAAGCACGGAAGAGATCGGAGCTTGTCGCTTCATCCGTTGAGTTTCTTCCAGGCGACCCATTTAGCTGTGGAATATCGGATGTTACAAACCAGATTGTTCCAGTATGTTCCCATTACTGTCACGATCCAGCGAGCTGGAGAACATTCAGTGTCAGTTGTGGAGGTGGAACTGAGAGTCACAGAGGACGGCGAGAAAGGCGAGATGAGCGACCACGTGATGGTCGTGGGGCTATTGAAAACTCAAGTGCAGTGGGATGATCCAATGGATCGAAGGCCAAAGTTCCACGAGGTTCAGTGTTTGTTTCTCTCGGAGGGGAGTTTTCGCGTCACAGTGTGCGGTCGAGTACTTGACGAGGATGTAAAGCCAATAGGTGGAGAAGTTTGGTCTCACCAGTCGATGCATGTACGCGTCCGATCGGAAGACGTGAAAAGCGTGAGTACTATTTAATGAAAAGTTACTGAGTGGGCTTGAATGTTATGAATTGTAAGTAAAAAATGTAAGTAGTTGCATTCTGTCAAATTGTGTGCATCATTCACAAAAACCATTTTTTAAAATGGCTTTTTGAATAAAAAGTACTTTGTATAGAAAAAGTTCGCATTGGTTTCGGACCACTTTTGATCTTTTTTATTATGGTGGGCCACAAGCTATGAGCAGTCAAGACGAGCTTTTTTTCAGGAAAAGTGCTTTATGACGTTTTTAGCCAAATTTCAACTTCAAAACAATATTTCCTTTTAGAGATTTTGAGGCGTGTCTGGTTTATTTTGTAATTTGCGATCTGGCGAATAGTCGGCAACACCATGGTGCGAAGTGAGGCAGCAGTGAGCGAATATTTCCAGATCCGCAAGTTGTTGTGGGACGAGCTCAAGCTCAACGTGCGCCCGTTAGAGGAAGAAGAACTGCGAAGTGCTGTTGGAAGTCCCCTTATTGAAGGAAACGAGGTTCGACGCTAGCTGATTTGGAAGTAATTGCGACTTTGTTCTAAGACCAATGAGATTCGTACTGCAGGAATTACGCCAGGAATTAGCGGTGCTAGTCGAGATTTTGACCGAATTCCAGCAACAAAACGACGACATTCGGGTATGATTTCGGTGACATCTAGCCATAGTTTGATCAATATTGACCTGTGTGTTAAATGACAGGATGCGCTGGCAAAACGACCGCACATTCCGGAGCCTCCAGGTCGTCCTCTCTTGATCGAGAAGCTGAAATTATTAGCTGCAGATATGCTTGATCACGCGCGTATTACCACTATCCAGTCTTCAAAAGAAGCGGAGGTTCTAGACTATGTGCTATCAACTACCGATACGTCTAATCCCTACAATTATCGAGCTCCGGTGACGCCAAAAATGGAGAATGTTTCGTCTAGACCGCTTTCAGGCGGCCGAGCAGACGGGATTGCACTTCGACCAGGCACAGCAAACAGTAGACGTCCTGTGACTTGCAACTCTCAGCGATCAGTATCCAGAGGCTCCACAATTTCTGTCTCGTCGACTACTGTTATGTTTGACAGCCCAGAGGTCGGACTATTGCTGCGAAGGAGTTGCCATTGGTTTAGCTAATTTTTAATCGTAATGCAGATGCACCGACGTTTAAACCTCGATGAAATCGACGGGATTAAAGAAGATCTACAGGGGGCGTTAAATGAGGAGCGACTACTGCTACTGGAAGACATTGATTTTATCCAGGTATTGATGTTTGTAATTGTTTCTATCTGTCCAAAAGACGAGCTAACGCTTTAAATGGCAGGGCTGCTTGGAAATGGAAAAGGATCTCATCGATGACGACCGACGGAAAGTTGCTGTTGCCAAGCCACCGCCTTCACTTAGTGACTTGCATGAACTTCGAAAGACATTAGAAAAAACACTGGAAGACCAGGTAGAGCATTTCAACGGCCGAAGCTGGAGAGCATGACTAACACACTCTGCTTTACAGAAAGTTTTCGAGCAAATGGAGAGTATACTTAACAAAGCAAACAGCTCTAGTTCGTCTCTTCGGAATCGAAGGTACTGAGACTTGACAAGTGCAATGCAAAAGAATGATGATCTAATTTGAGCATTTGCTCTAATGCAGGCTCGCCCCCGTACACCCGTCAGATCTCCCGTCGTATACGACTTCATCGAGATCTGAACCTTCAGTAAGTGCACGTCGTCCAGTCATTTTCTCCCGGTCATCCTCCTTATCACGAAGTGGGTCAGCAACACGAGTTCTTAAGATTCGACACCTTGTACAAGAGTCTCGAGACGAACCTTATTTATCCTAGTAGCCCGTTTTGCGTGAATATCATAGCTATTTATCTTACGTAGTTTGCCCTTTTATAATATTCTCGGTGCTGGGATGGACGAACTCCATTTTATTCCGCTTCATCGACAGCTTGCATTCCAATCTCCGTGAATTCAAGGTTAAGATCCTCCTTGCGATCCGATGTCTTCGACTTGGACGGGCTGATAGCTGCAACAGGACGAGATGGACGCAACGAGTCGCCATCGAAAGCCTCGCCAATCACTTTGATCGGGTTGGATCGTCCTCGGTCCAAAATGTCCTTCAAGATGAGAGGAATCTCATCTGGTCGAGATTGAATCGCATCGTGAAGCTGTGAAGCGAGTGCAACATACATCTGAAATATTTTACAAAAAGTAAGTTAAGAAAATAAAATACCAACTTGAAATCTATATAACGTACCCGGTTCATTCCAGCTAGTACACTTGATTGCTTGTTGCATTCTGGATAGAGAGCTCCGCTCCGCAGTGCCACGACACATTGCAGTGTAATATTGATGAGTACACATGCAAAGGGGAAGTGGCGTGTTGGATGCTGCGAGAGAGCGTGGAAACGGTGTGCAAGATCAGGAAAAGTCTCGACCAAGTAGAGAATTTGAAGCAAAGAGAGTACGCCACACCCACGTAAGTCCGTCGAGGGATCAGATCCCTGGAATCCGATATCTTCCCAGTGTCTTCCGATCAGAAGAACGTCCCGCGTACTTTTCGTGACTTTCTTGTAAATGGTTTGCAATATTCCAACTACAATTTCATTGTGGGCATCAAACGCAGTCGCGGCGATGCAAAAGACTCGATCGCGTTCCTCAATTGCACCAGGAAAAGTGAGACGAGGGCGTGAGAAGCATTTCATACACGAACCGCGAGGGAAATCCTCTGCTACGATGATGTCTCTGTGCTGCATGACGTCGGGAGTCTCGGCGTAGTATTTTGCTGCTTCAGTGTACGATATCAACGCTGTTTCTGGACTAATACCAACATTTACAGACTCGGAAATCTCATTAGATTGTCGATGTTGCACCAGTTTAATCTCTCGCCATTCGGCAGACTCATCGACATCGCTTTTCTCATCTTGTTTCGTATCTTCGACGTTAACATTTTCATTATTTTTTTCGTTGTCCGCCTCACCATCGTTATCTTCCTCCTCGATAGTTTCGGTCAATTTTTGAGTCGGACCGAAAATTCTCCCCATGACAGACGATCGACTCGTTTCAGTTTCAACTTTTGTCTGTTTTTCTTCGTCATCCATGAGAACTTCCTGGTCTCCGAGTCCTCGTTTGTAGATACTGTGCAACTCAGTCAGCGACAGTGCATCGTCTTTATCTGTTTTTTCAGACGGAGTGGAGTCCGCAGAGCTACTTTCTATGAGTTTCTTCTCCTCATCTGTTACACGCTTGAGTTCCTTTAGCATTTCTTCCTCTTCTTTTCGTTTATTTTTCTCCAGCGATTCCTTGCGTGCCTTAAGTTCATCTTCCGTTAACACACTCGACTTATTCCCAGCGTTCACATCGAATGAAAACTCATCGTCATCTGCGCTATCAGCAGCTTTACTCGGACTCTTTCCGGTTGTGGCAACGGAGAAAGACACGTCGGTTGTAAGTTCCATCTCGTTTTCAAATTCTCGTTCATCTGGGAATGCAGGACCACTGGGAAGAGAATAATTGTTATCATTTTCATTGGTATGAGGCTCGTTTTGTTGTTTTCTTAAGCTCTGGTAGGAAATGCCAAATGTAACGTCTGGGCTGAGTTTGTTAGCGTTAGAACCTCCAGCAATTCTGTGGATGTCGGAGAACAGACTGCTGGGTTCCAGTGTCGTAACGTGTGCAACACGAACTTCTTCACTGAATGAGAGATCGATCTCACTTGAGTCATCTGCTTTACTGTTCGGTAGTGCCTTCAACAGTGCGTTATCTGTATCCAAGCTGCTCTCTTTCTTTGACTTCTGCTTATTCTCTTCAATTTGAAGACTGCCAACAACCGCTGCGTCAACTTCCAATACGTCTTCGTCGTCATCGTCTGAAATATTTAACCCCAGTGGAGGCCGCAATGGCGAGGTTTCGCCTTCTTCTTCACCCTGAGAATCGTCTGAATCATCATCGTCTTCCACAGGGTTCATCGAGCCAACAATGGCAGGGACGTCTGTAGGTGCGGGTGGAGGCAGGACGACTGACGATGCTTCATTGGTTTCTTCTTGGACTGGCGGAGAAGGCATCTCCAGGCTTTCACCTTCAGTGTCAATTGCCTCGTTTTGCTCCGACTCGATACATGGAGTGGAGACCACAACGGCATCGATACTTTCGTCCACTTCAGGGTCGTCTTCATCATTTTTGGTTTCGACTTCTACTGGAGAGTCTTGTCCTCCTGACACTCCTTCATCCTGAGTTATTCCCTGTGAAGGAGATAATTGCTCTTGCGTTGAAGTGACTGTCTTGTTCTCGTTTATTTCTTTCGGTTGCTCTTCCTCTTCCTTCAAGTTTTCATCGTCTGCGTTTGTAGCAAGGTCGAGAACTGCTTGAACCACGACTTCACTCGAAAGCGGCGAAATTTGCTCCATTGCTGCTGATTCTTGGGAAACTGGTTCATTTTCTTCTTTTCCAGCATTTTCGTCCTCATCCGTAAATCTCTTTTCGCCCAGATTCTTGTTTTCGTCTGATATACTCAATGTCAGATTTTTTTTAACACAAGTGTTCACTATAACGCACCAGGCCCATATAACTTTGGCGAAGAAGGTGTTGAGGTTGAGTCTTGAAATTCATCCGTATTGTCATCTTGTTCATCATCCTCTACAACTTTACAGATTAGCAGTAAAATACAAGAGATAGCTCGCTCATTCAAGTTATCAGCAGATAGTAAACTGCTTACCATCGAGAGTCGTCACTGCGTCCAGCTGACTCAAAATGTTGTCTGTAGACATGTCTTCCACTTCTAGTAACGGAACGAGTGAATTAGTGTGAGCCGTGGTGGTGTCATTAATGCCACCTTCGCACCGCCACGGTCTTGGTCGATGTTTGTGTCGAAGAAAGCCTCTGCATCTGCGCCAAAGCAACTCCAGCGCTTAGAATACGGGAGACAATGGATTAAAATTCGTAATATTGGTGCAAACCTTCAAAGTTTTCGGTCTCGCCCTCCACATCATGCAGCAGATCTACAAGGGCAACGAATGACCAACTGACAACTTCAACGTAGCTGAAGGCAACCATACCCACCATCCAGGACATCAACATCTGAAGGACCGCTAGACTCCATCACAGTTTATGCACTACACCGTAGATGCCCTCTCTCACTTCGCGCTTCGTCCAACTTTATTCGTCCGGGCTCTAAATGCAGAATGCAGCGGTAACTGCTTTGTCGTCGTTTATGACTGCGCGCATTTTTATATCCGACATAATCGTTTCCGTGCGAAACTAAATTAACGTCATATAGCTCGTGGAGTATTAATACAAACAGGCTGGTGATGCATATCTGAAGTTTGATGCCTTACACTTTAATCTCGTTGAATATCCTCAGAGAAGGAGAGTTACGTCTCCGATTTTGTGTGAGTACAAAGCAAGAGAAGTAAGAGAAACAAGAGATCCACAGGTTTGAATTCACTTTTACGACTTGTCAGCTCTCAGATGATCAAAACGACGAAGCGGTATCACGCAAATATGTCAAAGTTGTGCGACGCATGTACCCCGAATATCCTTGAAAGGCAACTCATCATGGATATATTCTCGTTGACCACTTGCTATTTAAGAAGGAGCACCAATCTGGCTGCAAGAGAAAGATTAGCTTCTTGTGAAGTACCCCCAATCTGGTCATCACTGGAGTGCGTTCGAGATGTTGTTGAATAAACTTCGGCATTCGGGATAAGTCAACGTACTCACGACTTGGTCCAGCGACACCCATTTGTAACCGCTTATCTCTCCGGCTTGACATTGCACCGACACGTTGCTTCGAATCCTGGCTATATAGAATTCAATGTGTTTTGTACCTCCACGGAAAGGGTATTCTTCGGTAAAGATTCTGGGACATTGTGGTTCTCGTAGTGTGATTTGACGGATGTACGCGTCGATCGGAAGACCATCAGGGTTGGTAACGAACGAGCTCTGTGGCGCTGCAATACTCAGACCACGACTCCTCTTCAACCCACAACTTGGGCACTCGGAGTCCGGTCTCTTCCAATAGTTCTCTGGCCGCTGTATGGATAGGAGATGTATCGCCGAGTTCCTTGCCTCCTTTGCAGAACGTCCAGTGTCCCTGTCGATGCTTCAATAGCAGCACCCGATTTTGCGGATCCAGTACAATAATCCCCCACGACAATGCGTAGCGTGGTCTGTCGTATCGACGGCGATGGTTGCGTCGGCCACGGTTAACTTGAAAGCTGCTCATCGGAAATGGAATACATTCACATAAAAAAAAGTCAATTCGCAGAAAATTTTTCATGGGCGGTTCTTTTAATGAATCTCCCCCAATCGCCCAGCGTTTACAATTCCGTATACTGACCCGTTTAAGAACGAAATAAGATCATGACATGTGGCAAGAAAATACTTGGTGGGTTCTACTAATGACTTGGATTTGTATGTGGGCGATTGTCCTCCCGCTTACAAACTGACCCAAATCGGCAAATTTGACGGAACTCACAATATGTGAATGTCATTTTCAATATTACCCTTAGCTAAAAAGTGATATGATTGGTCCCGAATGGGGACCAATCGTTTGTCAGTATAATGCTGAAATTGCACTTCTAAAAAGCATTGTTGCTCCAGCGATAGTAGTGGCCAAACGGCACGATGACCTCCGCGAACAGGCTCTGGCTGCGCGAAGCGTCTCTGATAGCGACGATGCTGATGCGCTTCGGAGGCGTGTCCTATTGCCTATCAGAGGCGGTCGACATCATCACGTGCTCGGGTCCGTCCATGCTGCCGACGCTCAACCGCGACGGGGACATTTTGCTGCTGGACAAGCTCTCGCCCAAGTTCTGGAAGCTACAACCGGGTGAAGTCGTGATCGCCAAGTCTGTGTCCAACCCGCGTCGGACGGTATGCAAGCGTATTATCGGGCAAGAAGGAGACACAGTTTGTGTGCGATCATCGTCCGAGGTGGAGTTCCACAGGATTCCTAAGGGCCACGTGTGGCTCGAAGGTGACAACAAGTACGACTCGCACGATTCGCGGTTCTATGGACCAGTGCCACGCTCGATGGTGGAGGGGCGTGTACTCATGAGGGTGAGATAGTAGGGCTGCACGGGAGGATAAAGGAAAAATGACTGACTGTTGTGTGCGTTTATCAACAGATTTGGCCGCTGAACCAGATCAAGCGGGTTACGAAGGAGGTAGCGCCGCAGGCATTTCGTGAGAGATAGATAGTATTTTAAGGTTCTGGACAATATAGAGCTATGCAGATGCCACTGAAGGCTTCGTCATCTTGTTGCCCAAAGTACATGTACAAGACAGGAAATTGTAGTACCCAATATCTCAAAATAATATTTTAATTCTTTTTCAACGAATAGAGCGGTTAAAATGGCAGCGAAGCTGGTGCGCGGCGGCGTGCTTATCGTGGGCTGGGCGGCCGTGACAAAGGAGTATTTCTTCGATATCAAATACGGCATGGGTGTGTCTATGGCCCCCACAATCCCCGACGGCTCCTTCATCTTCGTGGAGCACTTGTCGCGGCGGTGGCGCAACTGGGAGCGCGGTGAGCTGGTGGAGCTTCGATCACCCTCTCGACACATGCGCGAGACCATAGTCAAGCGAATTCTGGCCCTGGTACGTAGTTTCTAAACAGTCTTGATAGCTACATAATTGTAGACTGATCGTCACTGGTGGCTGCAGGAGGGAGACGTGGTGGAGCTCCAGCCGCGCTTCGATGAGAACCGTAAGGACAAGATCACAGTCCCCAAGGGCCACGTGTGGGTCGAAGGAGATAATGCTACATGCTCTGTAGATTCGAGGTTTTTCGGTCCTGTTCCTATTGCGCTGCTGACCGGACGTCCCTTTTGGATTGTAAGCGCATGTGTTTCTAGTTGTTTGTGGCATGATCTAACTCTTGTGGTGGCTGTACGCAGATCTAACGCTGAAAACCACGCTGGGCGAAGATGCAGTCAGTCAAGACAAGAACTTGATCACCACTACCGACACAATGCGATACACCACAAATTTGTATTTCTTCGCGGTTTTCGTCCACACGTCGACGCTCTTTCATCTGCGTCCATATTCGACCATTACGGTGTAATTGCTGCTCTCCTCTTCAGTCTATCGTCTATTATTTGGCTCGTGCTAATCGTGTCATGCGCTTTCCGGTCTCTTTGTGCCACAGTTGGCACAAAAGTTGGCCTGCTCCGATGGATACGTGGCATGGCACTGCGAGCAATTATCTGGCCGCTTCGTTTTGCTCGTTGCAGTAGTATTTGCTCCCTTTGCCGCAGCTTCTTTTTCTCTCTGTTTGGCCTCATAGACGGAGTGATAGTAGTTCATCCGCTCGAGTTCCTCCCTGCCGTCCGCCAGCAACACCCGCACGCGATCCGGGTCCTGAGTATTCATCTCGTCGCGAAACTTCATCTGCACATACGTCTTCATCATCTCGCGCTGTTCCCACTGCGGACAGCGGCGCGCCGAGCGCAGACACTGCGCGTATAGCTGCAGAACGGATCCCTTGAGTTTGCCCGTAGCCGACATTGCATGCAGCTATCACAATTATTGCGACGACATTTTCATTCACCTTCACAATTCAAAACAATAATCAGCCTTTGATTGGTTGTAAGATAATTTAGCCAATCAAAAGCGATGTCACATTCTGGTAGTCCAGACGCAGCAGAGCCGCCCGTTGTCTTCCTAGTCTACCTAGATCATGAGCTCCCGTACGCTCAGCCACGCCCTCCGTGGCGGCCTCAGCGCCAATGTGCGTCGCCAGGCGCTGGCCACGCGCGGTGGCCACGCTCACCGTCCCCCTCCACCGCCATTCGCGCGCATCAAGACGCCGGCCCAGCCGCTGCACGAAGAAGCGGAACTGGTTTGGAACGACGGCGTCGCCCCCGAGACGCTTATTGACTTCGACGCGCCGCACATCCCCAAGTACCAGGCACTGCGACACTGGCTCTGCGGACTGGGCGGCTTCGTTACGCTCATGGGCGTCGTGACGCTCTACAACCCGGACTCGTGGCGACAGGCGGTGGGTCCGCAGATACTACGAATGCACTTTAGAATGTCAACTAACACTGTTATTATTGTTGTTATTGTGTGCAGTCGAAGCGTGGCAACCACCTGCCCGACCTCAAATGGGAATTGGGCGAGGCTAACGAGCCTGATGGAGAGATGGACGAGTAAGATGCAGACAAAGTGCTATCAGACGTTGTAGAGTGGAGTTGGAACAGTAGAAGGGCAGCGGTGGATGTCGTGTACTGCTGTCTAGCTGCTGGTCCAGTCCATCGAGCTCAGATAACAGCACACAAAATAACAGAATTTCGACACAAACAGGGAACGCAGAGTTGTAGAGTTCAGAGGAGCAGGGAATGCAGAGGGCGCTAAATTGTTCTCTTCTCTCGGAAGTTCTCCTTTTCTGGCAGTTCTAGGTCGTTACTGCTTGCCTGACGACTGCGGCGTCTTCCGGTTTGAAATGATGGAGTCGATGATGCCAAACTCCTGTGCCTCCCGCGGGTCCATGAACAGATCGCGATCCATCGCCTGCTCGATCACCTTGAGGGGTTTTCCCGTGTGGGACGCATACAACCCATTCAATCTGTACATCGAGTACAAACAATCAGTACAAAACCTCAGCAGCAAGTCTCTTTGCTGCAGGCTCACCTGGTTCGGAGCTTGATGATTTCTTCGGCCTGGATAGCGATGTCACTCGCCATTCCCTGCGCTCCTCCCGAAGGTTGGTGAATCATAATCTGTAACAACAAACCCATTAGCACTATACAAAGATCCATAGTCTAAAGTACCGAATAACTCACACGGGCGTTAGGCAGTGCCGACCGACATCCGGGGGCGCCTCCTGCCAGCAGCAGCGAGCCCATAGAGGCGGCCTGACCCATGCAGAGCGTGTTGACCTTGGGCTGGATGTACTGCATGGTGTCGTAGATGGCCAGACCGGAGCTCACGATGCCCCCGGGGCTATTAATGTACATGTACACGTCCTTCTCGGGGTTCTCCGACTCGAGGAACAGCAGCTGCGCCGTCACGAGCGACGCCATGTCATCGTTTACCGGTCCGTGCACGAACACGATGCGCTCTTTGAGCAGCCGCGAGTAAATGTCGAATACGCGCTCTCCCCGCGGTGACTGCTCCAGTACCATGGGAACCAACGAGCTCATGATGGAGTGGAAGCCACGACGGGCTGCTGGCGTCTGCAGCTTCGTCCGGGACAGCATCTCGGATCGAGGTATCAGCTTCAAGTGTGGAGTCTGGCGATAAAAATGACAATTTATATTGTGCTTTGATGATTGGATCGAATTTTGAACATTTGTCAAAATTTTGACAAGACCACTTCAACTTGGCTTTGTACGAACTTCTTCATTCCTACTAAAGTATGAGCAAATTAACATGCTCGTAGCATGGTTGCAGTACTCAATGGACAGTCTTCTTAGAAGTAGCCTTTGTAAGCGTCACGCTCGGTGCGACAAGAAACATCGGTACTGCATCAAGCACGCCTCAGCAAAACAAAATGGTGGAAGCGATTCATTTTAATATGATACACGAAGTAGATTACTCAAGTGGAGCTTCTTACGAAAGCTTTGCATCTGTGTGACTACATGTAATCTTCATCATACGCATAAATGTATCACGGAACATGGAGTATTTCAGAGGAAAAAAACGTAAAATTCAATCAAGCAAAAGGTTATTTTGCAGGAACGACCTCATCCAGCGCTTGGTACATGAACTTGGCGAATGCTGGGTCCAGCAGTGCCTTCTCCAATGTCTTCATTTTGTCCTGGCTGCTATCAATCTGTTAATCCATAAAACACTTGTCAAAGTTGCAACAATGGTCCTGCTTGTAGTGAGCAAGCGAACCTGTGTCAATGCCTGCGTAATCGCTGGGTTGGCCAACATCTCCTTCACGTCGTCTGACGTCCTAAGCACATCCATCTGCTCGTCCGTGAGCTTGTCCGTACCGTCCACGTCCTCCTCGTCTACCTCCATGGCAGTGGCTGGCGCTGGCGTTGGCTGCGGAGGCTCCTGCGGCTTCTCGCGCACCGGCGCCGGCTCGCACGGCGTCTCCTTATGCTTCTTGCAGCACACAAGACTGCAGTACGGCGCTCGGCACGTCGGGCATTTGTACTTGGACTCGGCCGTCTCGCATACTTGACACAGCTGCACCATCACCAAGCAGCAAGAGCAACAATGCCATTGATGTCCTAGTGGAGAAATAACCTGGTCTTATTTGTAATATACAGAGCGTTGTTTCCAAGCAGACCATACAGAATTGTTCTGGCTATATTTGCAAATATTAATCTCCCTACAAATACTAAGTCAACCCTGGTGATATTACGAATAACGAAGAAGTTCATTAGATTCGCGTGCTTACGTTTTTTTCTTGAGGGGGTCCGTTATTGAGCAGTTGCATAGGACGCAGCGGTGCGTGCTCTATCGCTCGCCATAACCATATTGACATCGTACTTGGCACATCCACGAATCTTCACAAGATGCAGGAGCTTCAGTGTGTCGCACAAACCTACGCATGGGGCAAATCCGGGCTCGAGAGCTCCGTCGCGCAGCTCAAGGTTCGTGTGCCCACTTCCTCGAGTGACTCTTGCACTGTCATTGCCAATTATCCGACTCAACTGCTGTCATTGTTGTATGCAGGAGGCTGCAGACGAGTCTTTCAAGGCGGACGCTGCCACTCCATACGCGGAGCTCTGGTACGAGGCAATACATGGATACTTTTGACACGCATGGGGGATCTTTTAACATTTTACTACATTGCCAACAGGATGGGAACTCACCCCAATGGTCCGTCCAAAGTGCTACGTGAAGAGAACAAAGACGCGCTGCTTTTGAGTGACTGGATTCGAATGCTTCGAGCCAACGAGACGGGAGACCTTCCGTATTTGTTCAAAGTGCTATCTGTGCGCAAGGCGCTGTCTATTCAGGCCCACCCGGACATCAAATTGGCTCGTGAGCTGCACGAAAAGTTCCCTGAAATTTACAAGGACGCGAATCACAAGCCAGAGATGACCATCGCATTAACTCGCTTTGAGGCGCTGTACGTAGTTCTTTTTGTTTGTCATGCTCACGTGTCACTGACCGTACCGTTAATTACAGGTGCCAGTTCCGCGAGATCAACGAGATCGCCGCTCACTTGCATGCCGTTCCTGAACTATGTGCGCTTGTCGATGCCGAGGGTACGTATTTGCAAGTTTTAGCGCACAAATAGCGCTTGGGTCAGAGTTACAGCATTTGACTCTTATTGCAGTTTCTCAGCGGTTGATGACACAGCAGGATGAAGCAGCTCTGCGAGAATTCTTCCGCTGCTTCGTGTACGCTGAATCGTCCATTATTGTGGCACAGTTGCGTTCACTTCGTGCTCGTCTCGAGAGTTCATCAAGTTTGAGCGCCTTGGAGAAGCTCGTGCTGCGTCTAGACAACGAATATCCCGGCGATATTGGCTGCTTCTGTCCGTTCTTGCTCAACTACATCACACTGGAGCCCGGCGAGGCAATGTTCCTGGGCGCCAACGAGCCTCACGCCTATCTGTTCGGCGACTGCGTCGAGTGTATGGCATGTTCCGATAATGTCGTTCGCGCTGGCCTTACCCCTAAGTTTATCGACAAGGAGACGCTGCATTCAATGCTAACCTACTACACGGGCAAGCCACGTGTGTACAAGGGTGATGTTCAGAGTGACGGTGTTACGCGGTTGTACAGCTCTCCAGTGCCGGAGTTCGAGGTCGAAGCCGTCGAGTTGAAACCCCGTCAGCGATATGCGCTACCAGCGCGAAAAGGAGACTCCATTGTGCTTGTCATTTCGGGCGGCGGGTCGACGGTTGAGCCTTCAGGCAATGCTGACGGTCGAAAGATGTCCAAGGGCAAAGTGTATTTCTTACCCAAGGGTGAGATTCTCGAAATTCAGGGCGGCGAGGACGGGATTTTAGCCTTCCGAGCGTCTCCCAACGAGAGTTTGATCTCTCAAAAGGCTTAGATTGTGGCGTATCGGAGCGTACTGAACGAAGGTACAAGGAAATGTCTTACATGTTATACAGCAAGCCGAAGGAAATAATACCAGTCCTAGCTTGCATCATGACAATATGCTGCTTGACGTGGGTGTAGATCGTCTCGAGTCAGCATCAGACTCTGTGCCACATTCCGCATGACCCATTTCACCTCAGCAGGACCTTCAAGCTTCGGTACACGAGCAAAGCCACTGCTATCGTCTCCTGCATCAGATTCCTCTTCTTGCTGGTCCTCTCCTTCACTCACGAACTCATCGTCTACATACTCAATAACTTCAGCGTCGGGGTCTTCAAAGTCGTCGCTGTACTGCGTCCCGCTCTGATCAAAGAAATCGGACGAGTCATCGCTGTAAAAATTCTCCTCGGCTTCGTATTCACTGGAGGAGGTGTCAGCAGAAGCGCCGTCGTCGTCGCTGTCTGCGTCTAACTCCAGCTCACGCATCATGGAGCTTTCACTGAGTGACGGAGCTCCTGTGTCTTCTGAGCCCACATCTTCCAGTGACAAAGTCGATAGTTCAAGAACGTCCCCACTGTCTTCCAAGTCCGCTACTCTTGGTGTTGAATTCGTCCTGGAACGCCCGCCTCCGCTTGCAGGTTGCCGTACTACTCGGCCATTCTTGGTGTCCTTAGACCCGTAGTAAATCTGCAAGCTGTCGAGGCACTCCTCGCTGTATTCACTCTGGAAATTTGGGTTCATCAGCTCTTCAGCCTCCGCATGGAAGCGTGAGTCGTCGTCATCGTCTTCATCTATACTTAAGTGAATACCATTTATCTGTGCGTTGTCAGTAGATCCCTTGTGTCCCCATGCGATCGCTTGTTTAGGAGCTCGTCGACGTATTGGTGACGACACGGAGCCTGAAAGCTGTTCGTCTACCTCTTCTTCCTCATTTTCCAATGCATTTGGATGCGGCTTGTCTTCTGTTACAAGTACCAATGGCTCCGGAGTGGTGCTTCGTTCTGGTAGACGAAAACTTAACTGCGGCTCCTCTACAATACTCGACTCCAGCAATTCCAGCTCGTTGCGTACATCGGGATCGTCTACTTCGTCGTCATAAGGTTTTATCGGCATCCATTGCATCGGAGCTACGGCTGCTGCTTCTGCTTGAGTTGCTAGCCGCATTTTCCTCTTCTCGTCTGAAGAGCGACGTGCAGAGAGGTTTTTCGGATGCAATCGACGTCTACCAGCCCCAGAAGCCGAACCGTGTTGCGGTTTTCGAGCCACGGGGTTTATCACTTTAACTTTTAGTGAACCACCAGAAGCGACCAGGTCCTGCATGTGGTGACGGATGTATGGCATGGCAAAGATCTCTTCCATACTGGGTCTCCTTTCTGGATCTTTGTCGAGTAATTTACGTAACAGATCGGACACTTCCGTGTCATAATGTGGAGGTACAGGAGCAAAGTCTTGCTGTACTATCTTGAGAATGAGCGTCAGTATGTTAGGGGCGTCGAAGGCGTGACGTAGAGCCAGCATTTCGTATAAAACGCAGCCTAGAGACCACACGTCGCTCGCGTACGAGTACGGCTTGCTCTCGCAGACTTCTGGGCTCATGTAATACGGCGTTCCTACTACTGTTTTGGCCTGATCTAGAGTAGAATCCAACGTCTTGGCGATGCCGAAATCTCCGAGTTTGACCACATTTTCTGTCGTGAGGAACACGTTGCTGGTCTTCAAGTCTCGATGCAACACACGTTGGCCATGCAGATACTTGATAGCCATCGCCATCTGCACGAACCAGTCCAGTACCTGGCTAATAGGGAAATATCCTCTTGGGTCGGAGATGTCGCTGTCTGGTCCGACTATTTGTTCTCGGATCTTTTGCTGCTCCTTTACTTTACACGCCAGGTCTCCACCGTCACAATAGGCCATAACGATATGCAACACATTGTCCACTACGAAGTTCTCCATGTATTCGACCACATTGGGGTGTTTGAGCTTGGCCAGTAGCTCCACCTCGCGGAAGGATTGGTCCTTCTCTTTGGCTGAGAGCAGCTCCATGGGAATCTTCTTGACCACGAAGCGGTCGTGGAGACAGTCGGGCCGTCGGGATCGCACGAGATGCGCCGAGCCGTAGCTGCCACGGCCAATGCATTTGATCTCCTCGAAGCGGTCCATAGTGGGCGGCACTCGGCAGATCTTTTACTGAAGGCCAGACCCGGAGATAAGTAGAGCGAGCAGCCACCTCTTTACGACCCAAGGGTGTTGCCTCTGCGCGGCGGACCTAACGTGCTAACGTGAAATACCGATTGCAGGAAGGTCGGCCGTTTCGCGGAAGGTTGCGTCACAGTTTTTTTTTTCTATGAGATCGCCCCCCTTGAGTCCCCAATATTTGATTTCCCTACTTTTGAAGTGGATAACTTGATACCAACCCAATGAGCCAGCAGAGTGAGATAAGAAATAAGCACGTGACTTCGAGCGGCTTCTATGACTGACAGGGGCGTCGGCGAGACTATGGCCGACGATATTTCTTTTTTCTAGGCCCAGGCAGGTTATCACCGCCTTGGCGGTGGTAAATGAGATAGCTGTACATTTTCCATACGGTATCTCTGTATTGAAGGCGAGATGCTGCTTTTTTCTCTCTTGTTTTGATGTCAGGGAAAGTCGTCGTCTACTTAGGCGATGTCGAATCCTGTTAGCCGCACTTTAGTCTCCGAGTAATGAGTCCCTTACTCAATGCCCACCGCCGTGTCCGTGGTCGTCGCCATTGCGAGCAGCAGCCTCCTCCTTCTCCTTCTGAGTGATCACCACGTTCATGCGCGTCAACTGTCCATACAATACGATGGAGTGAGTCATGCAAACACGAGGATAGCGTTCAGCAATTAGCCGCACCTCCTTCCTGTGGTGCAGGCACTCGAGGTAGTCTTCAACCTGCTTGCCGCACTGGCCAGAATGCTCTGTGTCCTTCTACTCGAGCGGACAAGAGGCCAGCAACAATTACAGTAAAACCAGAGCAGTGAGACCTCAGTTAGCGGAAAGAATTACATTGCACGCTCGATACATCAAATACGTACGCTGCACTGCTCCACATCCTTCCAGAACCGGTAGCATCGGCCCTCACGGCCCTTGAATCCGAAGCCCGACGACATGCTGCTCAAAGTATTCCTCCCGGGTAGATTTGGGCGGCTATCGCTGCACCTCCAAAACGACCGAATTTTGGCCAATCCTCGAAGACCTGGGGAATAATTTTCCAATTATTGGACCTCAATAGCTTTTATAGCCTAATGGCTGCCTTTTTACTTAAAATGTCAAAAATTACTTTGAAGGATCAATATATTTAAATATATTCTAAAAACAATCGAAATTTGCGGTAATATTTCCAAAAAAAAGGGCGCTACGCGACATAATAGTGCTAGCGTCACTTTGTGTCAGCTCGCTAAACACTGTAGAAAGAAATCGCCTCTTACTTTACGAATTTGTTACGGGCGGTTTCGTAAGCACTGATCTTTACCGCACTACCTACCGTGCATACAGGATCCATGGTGCTGGACTTGGAACTTGAAGGCTAAGAAAAAGAATGCTAGCAAATAGGGCTTCCAATAACGAGAGTTGTGTTCAGGATAAAATCTGTAGATAAGAAACCATCTCCGTACGAGCTGTTTAGGCGTTAATTTCCCGGATCGGTTTGTCAGATTCTTGGGGCGGTTTTCATCTCCCTGTGTGCAGCCGACCTTGATGATACGAGTCTCCTGTGAGTGCACCGAAGGGACCATGAACTCCGTGACGACACCAAAAACGTCGGTGAACTCGAAAGTGCGCGCACCAGTCAGCTTTAATACCCCTGACGCCTCGTGGAACAGCTCCTTTGACAGATCACGGTCTGTCACTTGGATACGGCGCGCAATTAGGTCGAAACTGTCGGAGTACTCTCCAACGTACACTGCCTTCTTGCGCGCCTTGTCCAGTATGTCCATGCCACCGAATCACTTCAACTTGCAGCTCGGCAGGCCACAAGTGCATGCTGAATGTACGCTTCCCGCTTTAGCGGGTTTTCGGCGTCTAAGGCGAAACTAGATACAGCAGTACTTCCTTGAAGTACTGCTTGAACAGGTCGTTGCCCGCCTTGCTTCGTGCCGTAGCCTCCTTTGCTTCTTCGGCGAAATCACCGTTTCCGACCACCGGAACTTCCATGAAGACATCGAACGAGCCGTCCTCGGCGTTGTCGGCGGCGAACAGCGACACGATACTGTTCTGAGAGGTAAGCAGGAACCCGTCCATTCCGAAGCTTGCCATGATGGGGTTGCTCGCACGAAGGTAAGATTAGTTGTGTGTTCTGCATGTTCGGAACCACTGGAGCTGCCATCCAGTGACAAGGTTCCATTGAAGCCACAACCGCCAGAGTCTCGTTCTCAGTGTGTCACAGGCTCCCAGACCAAACAAGTGAGAGCCGGCGTCGCCACATCACCTTCGAAGAGCCGCAACCCACAGTGACGGATCGGACTTGGACGTCGCATTTCCAGGGTGAGAGAGGCTCTCCAATAGTAGATGTTTTGTGGATCACAATTCTATGTTGAGGAGCTAATAAGAATCGTTTCCAGACCGCTGAATTTCACGCTATTGTGTAGCTTTTGGATTGTTATTCTACTTATCGGTCAGACATTGTTTGAGAGTCCATTTCTTCATCGCTATTTTCAAAAGTATACGTTTTTAAATCATTTTGTTTGTTACAAAAAGAGATTAAATTTTTTTGATTTGTTTTTTTAACCCTTTTATTTTTTTTAAAAACTAATTCAAATTATGTTTTACAGAAATTAAAATGTTTTAATTAAAATATCGTTTAAATAATAGTCAGACAATAAGTTATATTAAAAGGTTATTGCGATTACGGGCCTGCGAACTTCGTCTCTGACCGATTACTTCGACTAAAATGGCAACTTGTCTCTATAGAGTCCCCAGGGTAGCCAATAGAGGATCTACCGCGTCCAGCAGACCCAGGTTATTGCCACAGATGCATCTCCGTCAATCTCCCAGTATCCCTGCCTTGCTGGTGTTGCTCGCCTTCTTCGCCTCCGTCGTTACGGCCAAGGACCCACCATGTTCCTCGCCTGAAGAGTGCTGCTCGCTCTGCGGCGATGACTCGGAACGCTGCGCTCGAGGTCCGTGCAGCATGAGCGTGTTCACACGCGTCTTCTTCAGCATCAGTGCCCCCACCGATAACGTTGGCTTCTGGGACGTCGTCTTCTCTTTCTACGGCATGGTGCCGTACCTCGTGCCGATGGTGATCGCGCTCGAGTTTATCTTCCACCGCCGCAGCTGGACGCGGGTGTTTGCCTTCCTTTTCATCCCCATTTTCGCCATTATCAACGCTGTTATTCTGGTCATGAGCTTGGGCGAGTGCAGCGAATGTGATCGGCCGTGCGGCAGCTGCGTCTCCAGCAACGGTATGCCCTCGGGCCATGCCACAAATGCCATCGGACTCTGTTTGTGGCTGATCCTAGAGACACTTTTGGGCTTCGGCAAGCAGTGGACGGCAGTGGCAAAATTGGTTCTCTGCGCGGGCTTTATCTTGCTCTTCGTGCCGGTCCCGTACAGCCGTATGTATCTAGGCGACCACACCGAGCTGCAGGTCGTCATCGGGAGCGTCGATGGGGTCGTGTTTGGGCTCATCTACTTCTTCGTGCTTCGCTATGTCGTCGGGAGACGGCTGTCCGGTATCACGGAGCGCATGAAGGAGGGACGCTTCAAGTTCCTGAAAATGACGAACGACTTTTATCTTGTCAATGACGACCGCCCCACGACACTTGCTCCCCTCATGAACACCGGCGATCAACAGTATAGCCGCTCAGAGTCAATGGAGGATGCAGAGACGAAGTATTAGCCATTGCTGACTGCAACTTTGGGAGACTAAAACCACTAATTGTAATGAAACTCATGCAACAACGTCATTATCAACTTTGCTGGCAGTGCCAATGGTAGGTAGTAGCCTGCCACCATTATTTATGAAGACGAATTTCAGTCGATATTCAAGACAAGTATATCCAAACTACATGTGAATATTCTATCGCGCTGAAAGCTCAAGTCGTGCTGCACTGTATTGGCACTGTGACATTGCTAGGAGATGATCGAGCTTTCGATTAATTGATGGCTATGGCAACGCCGCTGCAACAAGCACAGCAATTGCCATTTTGCATGAGGTCTTGACATCCGCCGTGAGCACGTCCTCCACCGACGCCGCGACCTCCGCCGATGCCTCGTTTCACACGCTGGCCCATAATCAGCGCTGGTCGGTGTGGCGCGGTCGCAGCAAATCTCCAGCAGATCCGTTCCCTTGGGTCAGCGACTCACAGCGAACAGCCCCTTCAATCCCTCGAGCAGCAGGCCATACATACGCCGAGGAAGCGGCCAAATAGCCAAGCGGGCAGTGTTGTCATTTTCAGAGCTACTGCTGGTCTAATTCAGAATCCGAAGCCAATGCCAAGTGTGCAAAAAAGTTTGCTCCATGTGCTAACTTTTTCTTTCCATGTTCACGCCGCGGTTGTGATCAAAAATAAGTCGCCATAATCGAGCAATCAAAAAAAAGAACGCCAATCAACGGGCGAAAATTCTCATTTTGCATGAATGGGAGCGCTGAAATGGGAAACTTCAACAAAGGCAACTTGCTCTTCACGTGGACGCTGATATACAGAATTTATCCACTTCATTTACGTGTGTATTCCAGTCCAGGGGTAACTCCTGAAATACTCAGCCACCGAAGACATTGCCATCGCGTCCTTTTTAGTTTTAATACCATAGGAGAGGTATCACCAACTTATTTGCAACTCTTATGCAAGTCCAAGTCCAGCGTGATCTTGACCAATGATGCAATTTTCCAATTATCCATACTATTTTTAAGTATCCCATAAATTCATGTTACATTCACTACTTGGAGTTGCAAGTCGGTTCTTCGAGTCCGTGCTCAACTGCAAGAGAACGAATAGCATTTCCCGTTATCGCGGATTCTAGGATTTCGAATATTGACGTTTACCTACTGCTACAATAGTGCTATCATACAGCACTCTTGCTGCAAATGGGGCAAGATGAACAATACTTGGTCAGAACAGGTGCGATGGCTTGGACCATGACGAAGAGATTTCGAGCACGGTTCTGTTTTTATTTATCTACTCGTAAACTGCATTTAACTTGTCAAATCTTTCTTACGTGAGGAACTTATCAATGTCGTATTTGCTAGAGCAGAACGGTGCTGGTGTCGCGACAAAGTCCACGTGGATTCAAGCGCAAATGCAAAAATGGGTCGTTTTCCAACGGATTTTCGTCCAAATGGGGCATGCGTAATCAAGTCGTGCAGAGATCAAAATGCGCTGACTTTTCCAGCCATCACTCTTCAATTCGCCAGGGGATCGCCACAGCTTGTTCGTTCATTATGGCGCCGTCTTCGTCTACACCCCGTTGGCTGCTACTGCTGAGCGCTTTCCTTGCCGCCCCCGCCATGGCAAACAGCGACAGCGACGACGACAGCGTGGACTACGTGCGATGTACGTCCTTCGACCAGTGCTGCGAGATGTGGGGCGAACACTCCAAGCGGTGCGAGCGCGGGCCATGCACTAGCAATTGGATCATGCGCAAGTTCTTCTCGCTCAGTATGCCGCTCGACAGTATCACGTTCTGGGATATCATCTGCACGATCTACAGTATGGTGCCGTACCTGGTGCTCATCGCCATCATTGTCGAGGCGTTGCTACGCTCGCGCCGCTACACGCGCGTGTTCGCTATCCTGCTGCCGATCATCCTCACGGTACTCAACACTGTCATCCTGGTGAAGATACTGGGTGACTGCGACGAATGTCCGCGCCCTGCAGGCTCGTGTCTCGTCAGCAACGGGCTGCCATCGGGACACGCCACGAACGCCATCGGCCTGTGGACCTGGGTAGTCCTCGAGACAATCGTGGGCGTCGGAGAGCGTGTGCGTCGCTGGTCGGCCGGTCGCAAGGCCGTTGCGGTGTTTTTCGCCACGCTCGTGTTGACGCCCGTGCCCTACAGCCGCTACTACCTCGGCGACCACACGGCTCTACAGGTCGCGGTTGGATCAGCCGACGGACTGGTGCTGGGAGTTGCCTACTTCTTCTTCATCCGATGGCAAGGCATGCATCGTGCCATCGACGCACTCGCTCGTGTCGTGGGTCGCTACATTAAGTTCGAGATCAAGGACGACTTCTACCTGACCCCCAACCAGCTGACGGAGGCACCGAGGGACGACGGCACTATTGCGGACGACAGCAGTGAAAGTGAAAACGCTGGAGCCAACCCGAGCCACACGGTGGAAAAGGAGCTCCAAACGCCTTATGTGCAGGCGTAATGCCCCACCTAATACAAATAGACAAGGTAGAATAACGCAAAACAAGTTTCATGTTCCAACTCCAGCCTATTTAGGGATTTTGCTGAGCTAAAAGTGACGTTGCCAAGTCTCCATGAAGCCGGCGACAGGTTCAAGACTGGGAGCATGAAGACAACCTCGACTGCAACCTACTCGAAGGATGATGACTACGCAGTCGGAAACGTGGAGAACCTCGAGTTTGAGGACAACGAGCAGACAGAAATGAATCAAGGCAAATACAGAAAATCCACGGTTTTCCGTGTAGGAACTCGAGTTGAACGAGAGCTGGATGGGCTTTGGTTTCCTGGCACCATTACCGACGCCGAACCCGACAGCGACTGCTACGAAGTTGAGTATGATGAAGATATGAACCGAGAGAGTGAAGTTTCAGGTAGTGAACTGCGTCTCCTAGACCCAAGTCGGACACGAGAAAAACCAGTGCCGAACGAGTTAACCCCACAGCAACGAGAAATACTACGGAAGGATTCTTTGTTAATGCAGACACCGGATTACGACCCGAACAAGGCACCGACTGTCGTTCTGCATCACCAAGGCGAAACTAATGCAGGTAAAGTGTTGCCGTTTTCATGTCCGTCATTTTCCTGCGCTTTTGTGCCTACCAACTTTTTGCTTATTTCCCAGCGTCTGGGTACATTATCAATGGGCTTGAGAACAATGTCGCAACTGGCAATGGGTTGCGGGGCATCCGCTGGTTACGGGGCAACTCGTTTTGAGCTGCTATTACGCTATTTAAAACGGAGCGTCTAGGACTCGCTTCATCCTGTTTCTGATTGCTCAAGACCAAGCTCGAGACGCAACGCGCGCTCGTAGCTTTCAAACGCGTCGTCGAGGAGGAACTCCTAGCAACATTATGCAGGCAATATACAGTCAGTCCACAGATCTACTTTTGCTATCAAAATACTACTCACCTTTTTCTCCAGATCCGCCGCTGTGGCAGTCAGGAATGCTATCTCGCGTTGGATACGCGCTTGCAGTGTCTGTACAGCCAGTTTTCGCTCGCGATGCTCGAAAGAAGCGTGTTTCATTCGTCGCTGGAATTCTCTTGCTACTTTCGTAGCATCTGTGGCCTGTTGCAACACTTCTGTGTGCTCATGGCGCCTTTGGCGATGGGCTGCTGATAGCGAGGAGCTCTTCTCCAAGGTGGTGCGAAGCTTTGCCTCAATCTTGGTGGCTGGGCTCCTTACTGGAGGTGTCTGTAGTTAAGCCACAGCAAAAAAAGTTTAGTGTAAAGCGAACTACCAGAAGTCCTTCATGTTCGCACATTCTCCCTGTCATGCACAATGGACAGACCACTCAATTGCGATTCGCGGTCATCGGGGAACGCTGTGGCATCCAGCGTGGAGTCCTTCAGTAGTCCACCAAAAGCTGTGGATACCGCGCGTTCTAGCAGCTCTCGAGTCAAAGTCTGCTGCTCGTTCTCGGCCTCATTTGAGTGTTCTCCAACACGTTGTAGATTGGTTCTAGTCTGTCGCGGAGTCCGAGGCTGTCGAGGGGCATCCTGTATGCGTCTTCCTCTATTTCCCACAGCTGACGCCGTTGCACGTCGTGGCTGGGTCAACTTTGTCGACGAATTCCACGTTCGCTTGGGGTGATCATCGCCGTTTTCCTGCTCTGCAGTCATATGAACAGTCGCGTGATCTAATACTGCGATCAAATGGCACAAATGAAATCGTATTGTATTACTACTATGGAGATCTGGCACGCAGTCTTCGTCTCCATTGGCGTCCTGCATCTTAAATACTGGTTGGCATGTCGTTGTCGCGAGCCTTTTTGGACTTTAGGACGACGGGCGCTTCCACACAGCCAACCAACCGCCGGTGAACGCATTCAACTGCTGAGTGGCTTGCTGCATGGCGTCCAGATGCCCGCTGAGTTGCTGCAGTGACGTTGTTGCCGCGGTGATGGCTGCCGCGCAGTTCTCGTACGACTCGATACGGCGCTGGACTCCAGTCAGGTACTCCTCGCGGCCACGCTCACGCTCCTCCTGATGCTCTGTCAATCCTCTCTCCGAGCCGTGCGGCGTGCCAACCTCGCTACCATCGAGGGTCTCCGCCGTCGACGGTCTCGCCTCCGGCGCTTCTTCCATCAGAATGCTAAATGGAATTGTGTCAGATTGTGATTTGTATAGGACTTATTTTGGTCTGCTGTTTTTACTTGACTCCGGTATGCATGGCAAAAAAAATAGAGAACAAGAAACAAACAAAATAACAATAATTTAGAACAATCGATGCAGGAAGAGAAGTATGATGAATAAATGTGTTGTCTTATGGTCTGACTGAACGGGACTTGGATGCTTGAGAACACTACAAATCAAGGAAATGAGTGCTATGACACAGCTACCAACTAACGTTAGATAAAAACTCTGCGTACGCCAATAGAGATATTGCGCTAGTTGTCGTCGATTACACGCGAGCCTCGCTCTGCAAGAAATACTCGTTGCGCGAGATCTCCTGGCAAAGGTTATACGTCCTCTCCACTGCGAAGGACTATCCAGAAAGCCAACAGGCATGCAAATGTTATAACACGATTTATCACCAAATTTTACACCAGAACATCCGTACCGTGACACCGATTTCGAACAGCAGGAACAAGTAGAGGAACACGAAGAGCGGGACGCCTGGACCTTCCTCGACGTCGACGATTTTGTCCAGCAAGTACAGCTTGATGACCATGTATGTGGTCTCGCCTACTGCGATGATGTGACAGACCAAGCTGAGGATCGTGCCGTAGTGGAACTGCAAAGATGTTTATCATTTCCTGTCAGCTGTAGGTCTACTGGTTATGCTAAAACACACTAAAGCGGAACGTACGCGGCGCACTCGAGTTGGATCAAGGTTTGCCGGGTTGGTGTCTCTCAGTACCCAATAGCCGTAGGCCATTACCCCGATGCTGATGAGCGTATCCCACCAAACTTTGTACCAGGTAACCGTGAAGCTGATGACGAAGATGGCCAACAGAACCAACGATAGTTGCTTGCACGCAGGCGCAAACTCAAGCGTATGCGGCGCAATCGCGATCTTGCTTCCTCGCTTCTCCACCATCCTCCAGGGTTCGTCTGCACTTTATCAATGAGATGGATACGTCTTGAGAGCATCAACCAGCCACTCGACGCGCTCCCGACTGCTGGCGGAAGATCCGCTCGGCAGTTGAAATCTTCAAAGGATGCAAACAATTTTGGCGGGGCTAGAACGCCCATTGGCTAGAATGCAACATGGCTACATAAACTGCAACAAGTGGTTCAGAACTGAGCGGGGTCATATCGGGGGATCATCGCGTTTGCTTTGCCCAAAATGGACGTGTGGACGGTGGTGTACGCAGTGGCAGGCTGCTCTCTACTGGTGAGTCGTGTGTTGCATAGCTAAGTATCTCAATCTTACCGTAATGTTTACAGTCGTTTGTGGTGACAAAACTTCGCGCTCCTGGCTTCGAAGTCGACGGTAAACATGTCTTCATCACCGGTGGAAGCTCTGGGATTGGCCTGGCGACAGCGAAGAAGTATGCACAAACAGGTGCCAAAGTCTCCATCATTGCCCGCGATGCTAAGAAGCTCGAGGTGGCAAAGCAGGAGATCGAAGCTGTTCACAAACACAAAAATACTCCGGTATTCGCTCAATCCTGCGATGTCGTCGATTTCGAGGCAGTCAAGAAGGCGGTGGAGGCTTCAAATGCCTTCCACAAGCGCGCCACCGACCACGTTGTCTGCTGTGCAGGCATCGTGGAGCCTGGTTACTTCATGGAGCAGGACGTTGCAGGGTTCAGGCGCTCAATGGATATCAACTACTTTGGCTGCCTTCATGTCGTGCACGCGGCGCTGCCGGCTATGATCAAGCAACACGAAGTCGAAGGCGGCAACGATGGAGGACAGGTTACACTGGTGGGGTCTGCCTTCTCACTCATGGCCTGCATTGGTAGTGCGCAGTATTCGTCCTCCAAGTACGCACTGCGAGGTCTGGCTGAGTCGTTGCGCAACGAGTTGAAGCTGTACGACATCCGTGTGAGTGCTTTCTACCCTGGCAACGTCGACACTCCCATGCTTGAACACGAGCTAGCACTCACTCCTCCGGAGACCAAGACAATTGAAGGAGTCAGCACTCCACTGTCACCTGAGGCCGCGGCTCAGACGCTGGTGAACGGGATTGCAAAGGGCCATTTCAGCATCACGACAGACCCGCTTGTCTATCTTCTACGCATCCTGTCGAACGGAGTCACGCCGAGACACAACACGGTGCTGGAGACCGCGTCGCTGCCATTGGTCATAGTCGTCCAGTTTGTCTTCCTCATCTTCATGGACGCCGTTGTCGAATATTCACGTTGGAAACGAGCAAAACAACGTAAAAGCGACAAGAAGGATCAATAACTGTTAGCATTCTTCATAAAGCAAAACCGAAAATCAAGCGCATTGGTTCAAAAGTGAAGCACAATCTCCATTCATCTCCCCACTGTAGCGCAGTATACTTCTCCTCTGTCTTTTTCTGTCTTCTTCTCCATCTCACATGTCTATTCCGAGTTGCTAGCGTTGGCGAGCGCCTTCTTGACCTGAATCTCCGGCGACAGGTAGCCACGCTTCTCATAGTTGGTGTAGTACGTGAGCTTCTTGGGATTCGGACGTGCCGGCTGCGGGAGTGTCTCGAACTTGTGCGGCTTGAGCAGCGCACGCAGCGCCAGGCGGTTGTGGTAGACTGATGTGATGCTGCCACCGGCCGCCTCCACGGCCTTAATAGCCGACTCGGAGGCCTGCGAGACCTCAATGTCCAGCTTGGCCGTGAGGTGTTGGCTGCCGTTTCCGAGCAATTTAATGCCGTGCTTAACGCGCGAGCAAGTCACGAGTCCAGAGTCCACAATCTCCTTCATGGTGATCTTGTTACTGGCGTCCAGGCGTCCCATATCCACGAAAAGCTGCAGCTTGTCCAGGTTCACGGTCTCCATGGGGGTAGCAAACTTGTTGTTGAAGCCACGCTTCGGCACGCGCTGGTACAACGGTGTCTGGCCGCCTTCAAAGCCAGGTCCGCGACCGGAGCTGCCGCCCGAGCGCGCCTTCTGTCCCTTGTGTCCGCGGCCAGAGGTCTTGCCTTTACCTGAGCCGATACCACGACCCAGACGCTTGCCACGCTTGTGGGCGCCGTCATTGTCGCGCAGGTTGTTAAGACGAACACCTCCGAAGGCGGGCACAGCAGCAGCAGCAGAGCTAGCGAACGCCACACGGACGCCGCGGGTGGCAGGCAGAGCCCGCTCCAACGCCTTGAGACTCCACATTCCGACAGCTTATTGAGGAGGCTGCGATGTGTGGCGAGGAGATAAGTCGCATTTAATCGAGTTATAGCATCACGCCACCAAAACACAACAATGACGGCATTTCGACCAATAATATCGAAGGATCATGAATTCATATGTCAATTGCAACCAACTACGATGGCTACATCGCGCAACCTCGTGGGCATAACGCTGCTGGATGAGCTACCGGATCTGCCCTACGACGCTAGCGATGACAGCTCCAGCTCGTTACACACGTACTTCCGCGGATCTTGGGGCTTGTTATTCTCACACCCGGACGACTTCACGCCTATCTGCACCACAGAGCTGGGCGAGGTGGCGCGACTGGAGAATGCCGGGGAGTTCGCTCGACGCGGCGTCAAGTTGCTGGCGCTGTCATGCAACGACGTGGCCAGTCACAAACGCTGGGTCGTCGATATCGAGCAGTTTTCGGGGGCCAAAGTGAACTACCCCATTGTGGCGGATCCTAGCCGTCGCACTGCTGCGCAACTGGGCATGCTGTCTCAAGATGATCTTGACCAAGAAGGAATACCGCTCACGGTTCGCACGCTTTTCGTGTTAGACTCGAAAGTGCGTGTCCGTCTCATGCTCACGTATCCGGCCAGCACGGGTCGCAACTTTGTGGAGGTGCTACGAGTGCTTGACTCGCTCCAACTAACAGACCAGAAGAAGCTGGCCACGCCAGTGAACTGGAAGCAAGGCGAGCGTGTGTGTATTACCCCGCAAGTGACAGCTACTGAAGCTGCTGAAAAGTATCCAGATGTGCACGTAGAGAAGCTGCCTTCCAGCAAGAATTATCTGCGATTCACCAAGCAATACTAGCCACCTCTTAACATTTCTCCTGAAAATTTGGACGTATGAAAATCCATAGCAACTTAGTGTACGTTGTGCAATCAGATCTCATTAAGCTTAGTTGTGCAGTAATTGCTCGAACCCTCGTTGCAGGAAGTCCGCTAACTGGGGATTTGGCAATTCCAAGTCCAGTGTGCGTCTGGGTGTCACCAGCGATACGTAGCACTCGTAACGCGCAACATTACCGGACCGCTTGAGCACCGCCGTCTTCATGCCACGTGCGACTTGAATCACATCTGCGAGGACAACACTCTGCTCCAGACGTGCATGTTTTCCTTTCCCCACTCGATCGGCAGGACCCATGGCCTTCTGCCAGAAAACTCGTTTGAAGTTGAGATCTGTGAAAATGAGTCGCGGGTGTGGTCGACCACGTCGACCATGTTTGACGGCTTCGAATCCATCTAGTAGGAGTTCCTTGAATGTATCCATGTCGACCGATGCGGCGGCAATCTCTAAGCTAGTGATGCTCATGTTGCTTTGAACGCTACTGCTGCTACTGCTGCGGACACTGGCCGATTCTCTCACTATTACAGGCTGAACGGGTAAGCGTACGACCTCACTTGGCTCTCGAACTTGGAGGCTTTTAAGTCTATCCGTTGGTGGTGGTAGTGGTCGTAACATTGGCATTGGAGGAGGAGGGGGAAGAGTCTTACCATCAGTTGAACTTCCTGGCTTTGAGGAGAGAACAGGCAGGGGCAGTACCGCCATGAGCGAAGAGGACAGTTGCTTAGTCGCAAGTGGTTGAGCAGCTACTTGCGGCTCCTTCTCAAGCACACTTTGCTTATTCGGAGCCTGCGATTTTTTGTTTTGAGTGACAACAGTGGAGCTGTCGTCTTCCCAATCGTATTGGTATTTCTGCATATCGTCACAGTCATCGTCTTCTTCCGACGTCTCGTGAATGGTCTCCGGACGTAGCGGAGGCAAAATCTTGTTTTTGTCAGTGTTCTGAGGCTGGTTGTTGCTTTCCTGGTTGTTGTTGCTAAGACTCAACTCTGGTTTTGTTACAAGCGAATGGAGCAGTGCTGAGACGTCTTCGAGAATTGCGGCCGAAGATTTGGACGCGTCAATGTGATGCACCACACCCTGACGGTTAGTGAACATTTTGTTTGTGGCCTCTCCAAAAGTTTGATACGCCTCAAATCGCGGTGAAAGGCGTTCACTCGTATCATCACGGCGTCTTGAGAGCCTCGCACGAACTACTGGATCTTGAGGAAGATTGTTTGGAGAGTGGAAAATCGCACCAGTCACTGGATCAAAGCGACGACCAGTAATGCGAGTCGTGCAGTCTTCTTGAGATAGTTCGAGCACAAATACAATGGCAGGACAGAGATGAGGTTTTGCCATTAGCGCCTTGGCCTGGTCAGGGGTGCGTGGGAAGCTGTCGAGTATCCAACCTGTGCGACCACGAGCCATACAGCTTGCAACCTTGGCCTCCACCATGTCAAGCACCACACGATCAGGGACTAACTTGTTCGCAGCGATACAACGCTGAGCTCTCCGACCAGCGGTTGTCTGCATCTTCATGTTCTCGCGCAGCAATTCACCTGTGGCGACGAACTCAAGGTTGAACTCCTCACATAACAGTTTGGCCAGCGTCGTTTTGCCCGAGCCAGGAGGGCCATTGACGAAGAGTTGAAGCACCATTGTCTCAAATGAGTCGGACACAGTTGAGGACGAGAAGTGTGAGCATGCATGCATAGCGTTGCGCCATGCGATGGTGCAGCAGAAGTTCTGGGAAAAATAATTGCTGGTCAAAGCTGTGAAGTGTGTTCAGCAAAGATGTATTTGCAGAGCAAAATTTGCAACGGTTCTAAGCGGTCACAAGGATTCGACTGGCGAAACAACTTCAATATGGTTCTCACACGTTGGTATTTTAATAATACTAGTGGAGCAGCACTGGCGTGTTGCTAATTCAGGCGATCGTCTAAAACTCTGTATATACACAGTTTTGGCGCGCGCCCCTTCACGTAAGCTTTTCACTGGAAAAGATGGCCAAGATGAAGACAAGCACGTCCGCAGGAAGCAAGCAGAGATCGGCAAAAGACGCTTCCTTTGCGCCT